GTGAGGTGCTGACAATGTGTGGCTCCAGCGCCAGCCAACGCACCAGACGCCCACGAGGCGCCCGCGAGTGGGAACGAGGCAAAAACTCGGGAAGCCCGCCCAGCACAAAAGGGGCCCACGGGCTGGTACCGCGCGGTGAACCAGGAATGCCAGCCAACGAACGGGGCGCCCTGGAGGGTCGCATGGTGGAGCTCTGGGCGACAACATGGACATGCCAGCCCATGTGCGGGCGCCCACAAGCGGGGTGGGAAAGAACACCTGGGAACACCATCTGATAGCACAGTAAGCAAAATCGTAACCTCTGGTGCAGACAACTATAAGTCAAAATCCTCACTCAATCCCCCTTCTGTTAGTCCCCGTCATCCTTGTACCCCTCCTCATCCTCATCCTCCTCTCCCGTCTATTCCCCCCTCGCCCTCTCTCCCTTCCGCAGATCCCCCTCATACTCCCTCTCTCCCTCCTCTCCCTCATAATCCCTTCAAGGGTCAGGAGCGAGGCATGCCAAACAAAAGCGCTCCGAATCCTTGTCTCACCTTATCCCAGACCTCATCAATCGTTTTTCTTCTCCTCTACTCCTCCTACTTCTTCTTTTCCTCCTTCTTTGGACAAGGGATTTCTCTGCCTCTGCCTCGTTCCTCCTTCTAAATCACCCTCCTGCACATGTTTTTGTTTATCCATTATTCTCCCTTGTCTTCTCCTCCCCATCCTCCTCCTCCTCCTCCTGCTCCTCCTCCTCATCCTCCTCCCGTCCCCCCTTCTCCTCCATCCCCCTGCCTTCCCTATCTCCCCCTCATCCCTCCCCATCCCCCTCATCCCTTCTCCTTCCCCCTTTTGCCTTCTCCTCCTCCTCCTCCTTCTCCTCCTCCTCCTCCTGCCCCCCTTTTGAAAATCTCCGACTCCACCCTGCAGAGGAGCAGTGCTGGCTCCTCTGCCCCGTCGGCCACGGCTGCGCGGGCCACTCGCCTCACGACCGCCGCCCGCAGCGCCAGCAACGCCCTGGAGAGGATGCGCCGGAACCGCCACCTCGCGCTGGACCCGTGCAAACTCGCTTGAAAGGGCCCAGGGAGACACAAAGAAGTAGACACAAACCCTGCGGAGTCCCACTGTATCTATATATATATACACATGTATTAACTCCTTGGTCTCTGCTTCCCCTCTGGTTCCCACAGTTTCGCGTATGTTCCTGGGGAGGGGCGCCTATGTGCACCTGCTGATGCATGTGTTGGTCAGCAGCGCGGGCAGACGCCAACGCGTTCGATTAGCTTGCGAGCCATTCAAACACTATGCGGCGGAACGACCGGCGTTCTTACGTCCTCCTGACAGCAGCGGCGGCAGGGGGAGGGCAAGGTGGAGAGACGAGTGGTGAGAGGGCTCATTCATATACAACTGGCCCCCGCAGTTGTCACCCGTCAGTGGAAGCGGCGAGAGGTGGTCTTCCAAATCTCCATCTCATGATCCGGTCGCCCCTGCCTGGTTTCCCCCTGCGCCACGGCTTGTAACTGACAGTCTTTGGCCGCCTGCACGCGCGTTCCTCTGCGGGGAGTGCAGCAGTCCTCCTGCTCGCCGGCGGGCTGCTTCCCCGCTTGCCTTCCATCCGCAGTGGTGAGTGCAATTCGGTTGATCGCGTCCCGTTGGGCCACGTCGCAGGCGGAAGATAACTCACGGAGGGGCCATGCAGATGTTATGGCGGGGATATTATCAGGACGGCGTTAACTAGACACGCGCCAACTATTCACCTACACCGATCATCGCCAGGCTAATCGCGGGCCAATCAGGACTTGGCCAGGAAGGCATGTGCACCAATCCTGGACCGAGGATTGGCTCGGCAAGGACTGGTGTAGGTGCATAGCTGGCGCCATCCGAATCATCGTTCTCGCGCCCCCTGGCAGCAGCGGCGGCAGATGCACGGGACGAGTGAGGCACGAGCGCCGAAAGGGCAGACGCTCACACAACCTGGAAGCCCCCCGGAAGTAACCCGCAGCTGTAACCCATCAGTGGGCTGGGGGGGCCAGAGAACTTTCGCTCGATGCGTGGGCCCCCGGGCAAGCCCAACCCCCCCCCTCCCCCTCCCCTGGGCTGGCTGGCCATCCCCCCATTCCGAACCGTCTCTTGAAGGGTTCAGCCCCCCCCCCCCCCGAGGCCGACGACTGCCAAAAATCTCCCGCCACATTTGGAGGCGGCCGGGGAGTCTGAGACGAGTGCGACCCTGGAAAGTCGGTCAGAAGGGGGGGATGGAACCAAACCCAACCAAAATTGGTCCCAAGACCCTTCCTGGGATCCACCTGATGCAAATTTTTCACACCAAATCCATGCTTGACGGTCCTGGGGTCCTCCTGGGGCCCGAAAGCGGCCCCCGGAGGAAGAACAATGAACACAAAAAGCCTCTTTCGTGCCCAGGACCCCGAAACTCCCCCCCCCCCTTCCTGCTGGGCATAACTGGTGCTGGGCCACATTGGACCCCCAGCCGGCTCCAGGCGCCACCGTGTTTCGACGACGGTTTCCCCCCCATCTCTGGTTAATTCAAGCTTCGCGCGGCCCGCTGAGCTTTGACCCGGAAGAGGTGCGCTCTCGACCCGCGGATCAAAAAAAATGTGTTGGACGACGGTCGGAGGTCAGGTTTTGACACGCCGTCTCAGCTGGCCCCGCTGCGCGTCGGCGGCGGGCGCGGCCCTCAAAGGGGCCCGCGCGCGGGCCGCAGCGCCCGGCGGAGCCCGCCGAGGACGCTGCCGGTCTGCGCGAACGACATGCTGCCCAGCACCTCAAGCCGCGCGGCCAGCCAGCGCGGAGGGCGGGGAGTGGCCTCCTCCTCCTCCTCTTCCTCCTCCTCCTCCTCTTCCTCCTCCTCTTCCCCCTTTTCCTCCTTCTCTTCCTTTTCCTCCTCCTCCTCGTCCTCTTCGGCCTCCTCCTCCTCCTCCTCCTCCTCCTGGTCCTTCTCCTCCTCCACCACTCCTTCCTCCTTCCACCCCCCCTCCTCTGCCTCCTCGTGCTCCTCCTCCACGAACTCCTCCTCCGCCTCCTCTTCAAACTCCGCAACCTCCTCTGCCAGCGTGACTGCTGCCGGTTCTGAGCCAATACCCGTGGGCTGAGCAACGGTTTCATCTATGAAGCGATGAGCCACGTCTTTGACACAATTCGCATGAGCGTGCTGCTGGGCACCGAACTGCAAATCGAAAACATCAGATCACATGCGCTTGGAGGACAAATGCTCCATTTTGGGACGAGCCGCTGTATTCACCACGTTGCTACCACGAGAAAATATGCGGAAGTCTCGGAATTCCGATGGGGGGGCACTAGCCCAAGCAAAGGCAGTGGGTTCAGCTTCCTGGGGCGTCCAGGGGCACGGGCCCCAAGCGGAGGCCCTGAACTCCGCCGACAACTCTCCAGTGGAGCCGGCCATGCGCACAGGCGGGATGCCGATCGAAAGGCTGCAGCAACAAACGCGAAACGGGCGTCCTTGTCGCAAGACGCCTCAGCAGCCAAGGCAGAATCGACGGTGCTCTGTTCGACCGCCCCCATTCGGTCCGCGACGACAGGGGGATGGGGGCACTCCCGAAAGCGATGTACAACCGTACCCATCATCCCACAGAGCAAACGTGCGGGACTCACGCAAGGCCTTGAAGAGGCTTCCGCGGCAAAAGCCCGAACCCTAGCCTTCTACAGGGGGTAATACGCTTACGACATTGGCGAGATAGTATCGTTGACGACGTCTGCGAATCCTGGAGAGGACCCTCTTCTGCGAGCCAGACTCACACTCCAGAATCCTCAAGTGCCCCAGGCGAACCAGGAACCTCACATGAGCAGAAAGAAACATGCAAAAAGGGAGACGCTGACCCAAATCGCTTTCAACCGCCATGAAGTCAACCGTCTGCCGACCGATCCGAAAAAGAAACACGCGCAAAAACCAGAGACTGGACCTAACACGTTGCGCCAGGAACAACTGCGAGCCGAAAAACCGAGTGCCGCGCCGTGCGCAGCGCGGGCGGACCGAGGGCCCGTCAATTTCAATTTCATGGCCCCAGCGAGCGACGGGCGCTGTCGCCGTCCTCATTCGGGGCCACCGTCGAAGATGGCAACGGTTGTTAAGGACCTCAATTGGCCAGTCGGTCTCACAAGTGAAAAGAAAAGTTGGCGCTGCTGTCCAATATCATAGTCGCTAGCACTCGTAACCCCCGAGGCGCGCGAGGCCCCTGCAGGAGGTCCAGCCGATTGGACTTTCAGGACTGCGGATCGCTCGGGGGCCTTGGGCCACCGACTGACAGGGCGCACTTTGCGACGCGGCTCTTTGGCTATCCCTGAGCGACCAGCCGCGCATACAGATAACCCAGCAGTGCAGTTCACGCCCACACTGACAGCGGCGGAGCGAAGACGCCCGCCCAGGCGCGCACGCGGCCAAGCCGCCTCTGCCCCCCGCGCACTTGGAACTAATAGCCAAGACTGCCTCCTCGACCGCGAACGTACACCCAAACAGTGTCTGAACAGCCTCATCCCAAAACAGCGCCATGGCAGACACCGTTTTCCCGGGAGGCCGGGAGGGCGATGGCCACTGATAGTCGACGCAAGCATCCAGGCACGCTTTTTTTGACAGCGAGCCCGCCACATTGCCGTCGCCATATAGGCAGGGCACTCCGACCAAAGCGGCGGCCATGCAGCGACCCGCAATGGCCCGCATCACGGCGCGCGTAAGTGGGGCCCCACAGGCCAAACCCGCCCACTCATGAGCCGACCACCCTGGGGCGTGAACAAGATCCCCAGCGAAGACGAGAATCGGGGGCTCCCAAACGGGGTGGTGACCACACCGTGTGGTGAGTCGGTGGGGATTCGGGGTCACCGCACGGTTTTGGGACGCGGGTCGTTCTCCGAGGATGTCTCGGGCGACTGGGGCCTCCAGGGTCCCAAAACCGTGTGGTGACGGACCGTGCGGTGAGGTCTTTGCGGATTTCGAGGTCACCGCCGGGTCTGTCACCACACGGTTTTGGGACACCCAAGCGAAGGAACTTGCGTTCGCGGCGCCGGAGGGCGAGCCCAGCAGAATAACTAGATTCGCTCGCGCAACTTCGGGAGCTCAAATCGCATGCTGCAGCGTGTTTCTCCGCCAGACACGCTATCCGCAATGGCCCCCTGCCCCGAAACTCCGTCAGCTGCTCTTGAGAATTGCCCAGCGGCCCAGCGCCGACGGGGGCGCGGCACCTCCCCGTTCACAACCAAAGGCTGCCCGAGACCACCCCGCACTCTGCGGCCCAAGGCTCGATGCCCTCGACGGCGTGGCGAATCTTTCGCCAGCGACACCCTGGGGCGCAGCAGTGACGGTCCAGCGAAAATCAATGAGCACCTGCTGTCGGCGAGTAAACATGCGCGAGCTCGGGCTGACAGGCGACGCGGCCCACCAGGACCTCGCGCCCAAAGCATGGGGGCGCCGCAATTGCGCCGCGAGTTAGCTCTGGCACTATTGGCTGACATATCTGCGCCAGAAGAAGAAAGATCCACGTCGCATCCCCCCTGGAGAATATTTTCAAGTCGCCCCGGTAGACCACCGACCAGAAACGACCCCCCCGGACGGATACCCCCGCAGCAACGAGGCCCCCAGACGGGAGACCCTCCAAGAGCCGTGCGCGCTGGACCTCCACATGGATCTGGGTCAGACAGGCGACTGGGCGGTCCTGCCCCCCTGCTTTGCACGCAGAGCGGCCAGCCCTGGCGCGAGCCGCCTCAGAAGACGCTGCAGAAAACCAAGAGGACGGGTCAGCCCGCACATGCGCGGTTCCAGCCCCAGGCGCCGCGCTCGCCGAGCTTGCGCCGGGCGCCGTGGACTCGCCACATTCGGCAGGCTGCTCCACGACCTTCTTCTTCTTCTTCTGGGGTCGCTCAACGTGTGATGCATGCTCCATGTTGGCCTCGTCTATCTTGCTCGTGGCCTCTGCGAACGGGCGCATGGCCAGGCCCGAGAGCCCAACTTGAACTGAAACGCGCGGGCGACAGTTGAGCCTGATCTTGCGCATGTTTGCCGTGGGGACATCCGCGAGCAGCTTGGGACTGAAAGCGAAGGTCTCCAAGCAGGCTGTCCGCGAACTGACGTACCAACTTGGGCGACGATTTTCTGTTGTGTGGCCAGCTGGGCCTCGATCGCATCGTAGCGAATGCAGGTCAGCTCTGGGCGGCTCTCCAGATGACCGGCACGCCCGAAGCTCGCTGCAAACGGACTTGCGGTGACTTGGGGGCGTCCTACGGGATGGATAAAGCTTTCGCCGCCATGCGTTGTGCCGACGCGCTCTGCTTGTCACCTGGCTTGTCGCAGAGGGTTGCCGTCCGGTTGTATTCTTCAACGCTGGGAGGTGAAAGTGGGCCAGGCGCTGCTGCATCCTTGCCCATGCCCTTCCCAGCGCCGCCGCGCGCACCTTTGCCTGCGCCGCCTTGCTGGTCCCTGCGCGCGCAGCAACCTTAAGGACGGGAGGATTCTAAACCACGACGATTCGGGGTCCATCACGATGTCAGTCTTACATGTGCCGCAGTGACTGTAAACATAGATTCTGGCTGCGCGCTAAATACAAGCATAGAAAAACAATTCCACCTTTGCCCCTTGCCGCGTGAAGTTGGGCAGGCAACAAAGGAAAGAGGCGAGTTCCCCCAGCCGCGGGGGCGGTTCGCATGTGGCCCCCTAAGCAGATCCTTTCGGGCATCTGCTCTCCGAGCTACCTGTGGCTGTGCCCTTCAGCATGCCCTGATGGACGCCGGCGCGAACCGTGGCGTGCACGGCCCCCTCTCCCTCCCGGTTGGGCCCGTCACCGCCGGAGGGCAGAGGCGGGGCCTCCCTCTGGCGAGCGCGCGGCCGCCTGCCTCTCGCGTCGTGGAAAGGATGGGGCGGGGCAGGGTCCAACTCGTCTCGGTGAGCCCAAGCCGTTCCTGCTCCTCCCCTCGAGTCTTTTGCCTGGATATGTGTTATCCATGCAATATGTCCCAATGATGTCCCATAGTCAATGGGCTTCGCACAAGACATGGGCAAGACGGTGTAAGCAAAGCGAATGTGGTGAGAAGGGCAAGAACGAGGTGGTGCGAAGGGGTGCGTTGACTCCTTCTGGAAGACCGAGAAGCGGCAGAGACGTAGCTTCTCGCAGCCCCGCGCGGACTTTTTCGGCCAGCCTCCTTGGCGCGCGAAGCGCGCCACGGGCGGCGCCAGAGGCGCCGCCTGGGGGGCCCCAGCGCAGATCCAAGAGCTCCGCGCGGACCTCCGATGAATGTACCATTTTGAATGCCGACATAGGTTGTCCCATCTCCCTCTTCTCTCTGCTCGTCGTTGCCTCTTCTCCTCTCTTCTCCCGATATACCCCCTTTTGGGTTGTCCTCATCTTGTCGTCCTGCTCCTGCTTCTACCCTGGAGGCCTCCCAGATTGGATCCGAGCAGATGCGGCCAAACGATCGCAACGCATCGCGGATATATCGCAGGTGCGTCGCTGATGCATCGGCAACGTTGGCCATCCATCGGTGACGTCGGCATTGAGAAAATCAGGCTCCATATCCAGCCAAATCAACGATGCATCGCCGATGCGGCGCGTCCCTCCGACCGACCCCATCGAATGTTTGTTATCATCGGCGATGGCCTGGGTTATTCGCTTGCTGGGGGGAGAGCAAGGAAGATGCCAACCGATAACCTGACATGTTCCGCTCTGGGCAACCCCATGTATGTCCGCGCGCACCAATACTGCATACCCTTCGGTGGCAACTCACGGGATCCTCCCATCAAATTTGTGTTGGCTCTTGCGAATCGACGCTGATTGACGCTAGTCGACGCCACTGCACTCTGAAGGCGGAAATGCGACGGCATGCAAGGTCCAGATGCTTTGCCACCCCAAGCCATGAGCACGCACCCCCTCTGGACCTGCGCAGCCGACAAGGTCAGGTGATCCGGGATCCTCTTCCTCCTCCGCCGACAGCGGGGCCGCATCCGACGAACGACGAGGAACCGACAGCGGGGGCTGGCATTGAGCAGGGACCGACCGTCCCGGCAGTCCTATAGGCCTACCACGAAATATTCTTAGAACCCAAATATGTCCGAAGAACGAAAACAATGTGCTGAGATCATAAACCCGATGTGTCAAAACAAGACAGTCGAGGCCAGACATGTTCTCAGGACATTTTGTGGACACCATCAAAAGGTTCTTAGAACATTCGCTGGTATGCCTGTAGGCGAGCTAGGACGCTTCGCCACTGCTTGAAGCGGGGGCTGGCAAGTCGGCTACACGCAAGACTGACCCTGGGTAAGAGTGACATTTGGTGCGCGGCTTGTTGGGGGCCGCGGGGAGACCAAGCCTGGGCGCGCAAGCCGCTGCTACCGCTTCGCTCTCAGCCATCCGAGGATCCACCTGTGCCCGCACCAAAGGTCACTTCGGCAAAAGGTCACTCTTGCGTCTAGTCGAGCAAGGCGCGCCTCCAGGGCTTCCTTCAGCCCGGCCAGCTCCGCGTCGCGGCGCGCCTTGCGGTCCTCGTACGTCTCGGGCTTCACCTCGCGGGGGCCCGGCTGGGCGGGAGCGACGCCTCGACCCCCAGACACCCGACGGGAGCCCATGGATTCAACGTAGCGTAAATTATCCCAGTGCGACCCTACCTAGGAGTTGGAACCTCTAGGAAAGCAACAGTAGTAGGAATAGTGGATGCTGTACTGCGCAATAGTGGATGCTGTGCTGCGCTATGCTATGCTATGCTCTGCTATGCTATGCTATGCCGCGCAATGCTATGCTGGGCTATGCTATGCTATGCTATGCTATGTTATGCTGCGCTATGCTATGCTGCGCTATGCTATGCTTTTGCTTTGTCTTCGCTTTTGCCTTCGCTTTTGCTTTTGCCTGGCACCCAAGGAGCGCAACTGGGGGAAACGCGCGTTTGCTTTTACCTTTGGTGTTGCTGTTGCTTGGCTCCCAGGGGACCGGGGGAACCGCCCGTGGCGGTTTCCACTGCCCGGCCCCTTTAAGCCAAGACAGTAAGAACCCTTCTAGGCAGAGCCTAGGTAGGGAAAAACACCCGAAGGATTTTTTGTTTGTGCGGCCTTTTTGAAAACCAGCCTGGAGCGTACCCCTATCCCTCAGATTGGCAGGCCCAGATGCGATGAGAATCTCAGGGGTGCTCCCTCAGAAACTGAGGGGGGGGCCATACGATTGGCATCGAGATAAGGTGAGGCCTCCCATGAATTAGGGATGAGGGTTTGTTTCAAGCTGGAAATTCTAAAGGCCTTCTCCGGCCGGGCACTGAGACCGTCAAACAGCTACTCAGAATGAAAAAATACCCCACGGGAGTGGGCCGAGGCTTCGGGGGACCCCGCATTGAAAAAATCAAGACATCACATCGGCGGACACAAGTGTCGGCCCCTGGGATCCGTGACTGGGCTCCGTAAGCCCTGACCTCCTCGCGCCGACCAGTAACAGCGATAGATAGGTTTTGGCAATCTTGACAATTTTCGGTTTTCTGGACGCCACTCAGACACATAGGAGGAAAGCACCAGGAACTGAGATGCACACAAGGGGATCTCCGCGACAAGTACGCCTGGTGGCGCAGGGAAGCCTGCTTTTCGGGTCACCCTCCTCGGTTTCGCATTCCGTGTGGCGCAGCTGTTCGAAAGCAGCTGGGGCCGCGCGTGAGCACTCGTAGGCAGCCTCCCTCCAGAAGGAAAGTTCCGAAACGACAACAGTGAGCCTGGGTTGGCCGGCGGAGTCAGAGAAACGTTTGGCATCACAACGGCGGAGAGATGTGGGCAACCTTCGGCTTCCAGGAGGCCCCCCCGCGCCCAGAGGCCGCAGAACACGAGCTCAGGATGAAAGGCTCTTTCCCCATGCAATGGGGTAAAACCTTTTTCTGGGCGAGCGGGACATTCGAGCCTCCTGCTTACTCCTCGCGCCCCCAGAGAGAAGGAGGAGGCAACACACACACACATCGAACGAGAAAGGGACGAACGCAGGCGGCCATGACAGAGAAGAGAAAAAATTATGGTGTCCACGACCAGCTCGTTGGCAGCGGCAGCAATGGGTGGGCGCAAGGAGGAGGAGGGGGAGGAGGAGGAGGAGAAGGAGGAGGAGGAGGAGGAGGAGGAAGAGAATCGAAGAGGAGTTTTGAGGCTGGAGGAAAAAAATTGCGGGGTGCTTCCTGCCCGCTCAAGATGCTCCTGAACGCCTCCAGTCGCCAAGGCTGGAACTCTAGCCAGAGTGCACCCCGGAAGGCCCCTGGGGGGGGGGCGACGCTGCACCCCTAGAGAAAAAACAGGTGCATAACCATCAACTTGAAATCTTAAGAGCTGCGCGCGGATATTTCTTGGACCAGCGCTGCGTGCCCCACCCTGGCGCGCGGAGCCGGAGGAGCCGCCAGAGGGGCCCACCGCCGATCGGGGGACATCCGCGCGGGTTTCCGAAAACGCATGCTCAGGAACTTCCTCCTCCTCCTCCTCCTCCTCCTCCTCCTCCTCCTCCTCCTCCTCCTCCTCCTCCCTCCTTCCCCTCCTCCCTCCTCCTCCTCCTCCTCCTCTCCTCCCTCCTCCTCCTCCTCCTCCTCCTCCTCTCCTCCCTCCTCCTCCTCCTCCTCCTCCTCCTCCTCCCTCCTCCCTTCTCCTCCTCCTCCTCCTCCTCCTCCTCCTCCTCCTCCTCCTCCTCCTCCTCCTCCTGGCGGTCGGCACCGAGCCCCCCCCGAGCCCAGACTTCTGGCGACAACGAGGAAACCACGCGGGAGATGTCATCCTATGCCTCGGCCTCGCAGTGCCCGCTGCGGGCCCCAGGGCCGTCAACAGTCACGCCGGTCGGAGGTCTGGGTTCGGCCCTCGTGCGCCATCGTGAAAGCCTGATGCACCAATAGGGGGCCACATACGAACCCTACCCCTGCCCCCCCCGATTTCTGAGGGGGAGGGGTAGGGTTCGCATGTGGCCCCCTAGCCAAACTGGGACGCAATCGGGGGCTGCCCCGGGCCATCGCAGTTCCATCGTCTAAGGCCGTCCTGGTTGGCCGACCGCCCAGCGGTGCTCCTGGGGGTGAAGTGCCTGGGGAGAAACGTGGAAGGGTGGTGGGAGTGGGGAGGAGAGCGGTGAAATGAGGAAGGAGGGAAGAGGCGGAAGGAAGAGGTGGAAGGGAAGGCTGGAGCCGTCACCATACGTCAGAACAAGGGAAGGGGCTGACTGGCAAGGGGAGGTCAGAGCGTACAGAAAGGCGGGAGGATGGGCTGAGGATGAGGGGGGGGGGGGAAAGAGAAGAGGAAAATTTAGGGAGAAGGTCGGACAGAAAAGGGTAGCAGGTACCACCTCCTATTCTCTCCTAGTCTCTGGCCCTCCCTCCTCCCATCTCTGGGTTGGGAGGATGCAGGGAGGAAGAGGGACGAGGGAATGAGAAGTGCAGCACGACATCGGCTTGGCCTCGCAGCTGGCCCGGATGCTCTTCGAATACTCGAGCACCGAGTCCAGCTCCGTCTGCGAGCTCTCGCGGTCGGAGGACATCTCAGTGATGGCCTTGTCGAGCGAGGCGGCCTCCTCAAAGATTTTGCTTGCGTGCGTAAGTGGCTCTTTTTCTCCTGGATCCTCACATTATCACCTCCACCAGTGTTCCTCCTCCTGCTCCTCCTTCCTCTCTCCTCCTCCTCCTCCTACTCCTCCTCCTCCTCCTCCTCCTGCTCCTGCTCCTCCTCCTCCTCCTCCTCCTCCTGCTCCTCCTCCTCCTTCTCCTCCTCCTCCTCCTCCTCCTCCTCCTCCTCCTCCTCCTCCCCCTCCTTCTTCCCTGCCTCTCCCTCGTTCCTCTCTTTCCTCCCACCCCGCTCCGACCTGAAGAACTCAGATTGTAATGCTCGCGTCAAGTCAAAAGCCCCGGCCCTGAGCTACCCAGACCCCCGGAGACTGAAACAAATCGCGCAGGAGGTCCTTGCAGTTCTCGGCGGGCCTCAGAATGCAAATTGGATATCCGAATAGATGCCGTATCGCCAAAGCATCGCCCATGTCGCCAATGCATCGCCGATGCCTTCGGCGATGCATCGGCGACGTCGCCAATGAATCGGCGCCGCGTGGACACATTCAGTCTCTACAGCGCGCATGACCATGGCCCCGAGAGTCCCAAGAGACACCCTCCAGCCCTAAGAGGGTCGCATTCTTGGCCCATGTATCCAGGCCCGCAATCGTCGGCGGAATGGCGCAGGTGGTGTCTCATCACGCCACATCGCAGATGCATCGGCGAAACAGCGTGACCCTCCGCCCCCTTCTATCGGGGACGCACTAACCCAGGTCAGCCGAAACCCGGGTCGGCCGAGGCCCTCTGTCGCGAAACCCAGCTGGCCGCTTAGTAGCCCAGCGGAGGGCGTAAAGGGAAATTCGGCTGCTCCCGAACCAGGGTCGGCCAGAGGGGGTTGGCTGACCCCAGGTAGCGCTGACCCCCGCTGCGTGAGCCCCGAATCTGCTGGACCACATCGTGGGCGAAATACATCTCCGTATCCGCGGCCTCGTTGACCGGGCCCCTGGGCCGCGACCCCGCGGATACGGGGCGCTTTGTTCGAGGATGCCCCGCACGGAACCCCGTGATTTTTTCAGTACGCGGTGCCCTGAAGGCTCGACCCATTCCGCAGGACTGGTTTATCCTGAGCCGTCGTTTGACGGTCCCAGGGCCCCGCGAGGGCTCCCAGAGGCCGAAAATTGAGGAAAACCTCCGTCTTGATTGTCAATGCGTTGGATCTCTGGGAACGCATCCCTGCGACCGCGTATCCGCGGGATGGCGCCCCGAAAATCCACGCCGCGAGGGCGCTTGCCGCTCCTCTGGACGGAATCCCCCTTTGGGAGGCCGTCGTGGGCAACCCCTGGGCGCGCCGCCGGGGGAGGCGCCCCCGGGTCGCCCTCGCGGAGGGCAGGAGGGCGAGGAGGAGGAGGAGCAGGAGGAGGAGGAGGAGGAGGAGCAGGAGGAGGAGGAGGAGGAGGAGGAGGAGGAGGAGGAGGAGGAGGGAGGAGGAGGAGGAGGAGGAGGAAAAAAAAGGAGGAGGAGGGCGAGGAGGAGGAGGAGGAGAGGTCGCCTAAGCCCTTCGGAGAAACCCTCCACTCAGCGGGGGGCTCTCGCTGGACATCGCGTTGGCATGGTTGGTCCTGCCGCGTCGCACTCCTCACCGTTTCGCCGGAAGGGTGCAAGGCGCGTCCTCGTGCAAGACTGGCGGCGGGCGGCTCGGGCAGGCAACCGTGCCACAGGGCCCTGCGGTCTGGTGGCCCTGGAGACCACGGCGGGGCACCCGGGTCCATACGTCAGGAAGCAGCTCCCGGGAGGTCTTCGCAGAAAATGCGACGGAGTACGAGTCCCGATGAGAAAGCCACTGGCCCAACTCTGGCCGAATTGAGCAAGGGATTCATTCGGACGATATCCGCGTTAAGCGGGGTTAAGCAGGATTCGACAGGAGTGTGCCACATGAAGCAGTTTTCCACCGCGGGTATACCAGCGACGACTCTGAGTTGAACCTCGCAATATTCGTAACATTCGCCACCGAATCCTATGTAATCGGCTTCTGCGCATCGTGCACCGAGATGCGCCATTATCTTCACACCCTCGCGCACCTCCCTTGGAGAATGGCAGCCGCCCCGGCCCAGACCGCAGCGCGCAGAGCGCGACGATCTTCGCGCCCCCGCGGGTGACCTGGGTGTCGTGACGACAGCGGTACTGTTCTTTGACACCGCGTCAATCGTCAAACATTAATGGGTCGGCGCATTCCATTACCGCAAATCGATCAATATCTCGGAGCGCTCAACATTGAGAGCCCGCTCCGGGTTTGCCGCCCCGTCGACACGAGACGAACCTACCGTGGGCAGAATCGGCCCATGATGGTGAGCGTGTCACTGGAAGAAGCTGGCAGAAGCCAGCGACTCGAAGAGGTCGGGTCGCAGACCCAGACGTCCACCGTCGTGACTGTTTCTCTCAAACAGTGTGGGCCCCCTCCCCGGAGACCGCGTCCCGTCTCGAAGCGTTCATCGACAGCCCTGGTGCCCCGCAAGGGCCCTCCAGGGGCCGAAAACGACAAGAGACAGCCAATCGATGCTTCGTCACTGCGCGGGGATGTCAGGGGAAGCCTGCCCCCTCCCTCCCTCGTGCGCGCCGAAGACTAGGGCCCCGAAGAAGATGGAGGTCGCATCATGGCCAGAGGCGCGTGCGCGGACGCCGGGGCGGCGGCATGACCGCCCCGCCGTTCTGGACAAACTTCGAAGTTCGACATTGGGTCAGCGCTAACCCGCGTCGGGCTCGATCCTCGAACCACGACCCTCGAATCTACTCGATCCATAATCCTCGACTCTCGATCCTCGAACCTCGACCCTCGAGCCTCAAACCCAGATCCTCGACCCTCGATCCTCGATCATCGAACCTCGAGCCTCAAACCCAGATCCTCGATCCTCGATCCTCGATCCCAAACAGTGTTTTGCATTGTGCACTGCGGTGCAAACTATGCGGCATCAACTATATGGAGTGACCATATGCAGTGTATGCTACGTGGTGTTACGTAGATTGCGCACGCGATTGTGTGAGGTAGCTTGTGCAAGCGATGTGGTGTGACTTGTGCGGCGTGAGCTATAACATGCGAACGGTGCGGTGTAAGCCAGGAATGCGAGCTAGGTGGGGTAAGCCATGGTGTGCAAATGGTGTGGGCTAAGTGTTGCTAGCTTTGTTGTGTACGCTCTGTGGCGAATATCCTGTCGTGTAAGCTAAGATGTGGCGTGAGCCATGCGGAATGAGCGATGGCATGTGAATGATGCGGGGTAAGCGATGTTGCGTAGAAAATGCGGTGTGGTCTACACAACGTGAGCTGTGCGGTATGCGCGCGAGGCGTGTGCGCGAGGCGCCCACGAGGCGCCCACGAGCGGGAACGTCCGCAAACCCACCCAGCGCACGGGGCTCCCACGCGGCGCCCACAGGCGACAGCGTGGCGAATCCTCGGCAAACCCATCGAGCGCACGAGGCGCCCACGACGCGCCCGCTGCTGGGAGCGTGGCGAAAATCTGGCACCTCATCCAATGACCGAAGAGCAGAACAAGATTCCGGAGTGCAAGCACTGCTGGAGAACAAGAACGCGACCCCAGATATCTGAGTATGCCTCCCCTGGCTTCCCCCTCCTTGGTCTTGTACTTGATGTCGGACTCGTACGTCGCCTTGGTGAGCTTGTTCTCCATGGTCATCTTCTGGTAAGCAGTTGCCGCCGTATCCTCGTCGCTCTCGGACTCCGCGAGGGACTTGCTGAGGTCGGACTCGACCACCTCTAGCAGCCCGATGACCGACCCACCAGCCTCGGACTTGCCATGCGCAGCCTCGTCGCCAGAGTAATACTCGCGGAGGATCTTCACTGCCTTGCGCACGCCAGACAGGCCTTGCTCAAGATCGGTCTTGGTCTCGAGGTACAGTGCGTTCTGCTCAGACCTCACCTTGTCCGCCTCTGCCTGTGACTTGAGCAGCTCCGCCAGGGCTGCCTGGGTCTCCTTGGTCTCGTCCTTCAGGGACATCGAGGTGGAGCTGGCCTTGTCGATCTTCGTGGACAGTGACTCGATGGTGGCGGTCAGGTCGTCCTGCTTCTCCTTGGTATCACCGTACTCCTTATCGCACCACTTCTTGTGATCGGCGTCCACGCCAGCTTCCTGCTCCAGCTTCGCGATCAGCCCCTCGATAAGAGTGCGGACCTTCGCAAAAGGATCCGAGCCCGTCTGCGCCGCCAGGTGAATCGTGGCGGCCACGCGGTTTGACAACTGCTGCAGGGCCGGGGACTTGTCCCTCTTGGCCAGCTGCCGGAGCATGTTGACCACCTCGAAATTTACGAGGTCCTCGTGCGAACGAAGCTCGAAATTCTTCCGGGATCGCACCTGGGCGAAAGAGGCCGCGCCACCGTAGACGATCGTGTCTGAAGCGCCTGTCATCTCGACCAGCACCTTCGAGGTCAGAGGGCGGTTGAAGTTTCGTGGCAGTCCAGACGATGAAAGAAAGACTGTGAAGGCTCCCACAAAAAGCGTACGCGCCCACCCGCGTACATGAGCACGGCCCCCCAATCCGCGAGACCAGCCGCGTGATACGGATGTTCTCGAGTTCCGTACTCTCGAAACCAACGTGGATTCATGCACGCGTATTTCGCCTCCGAGCATTGAGGTTTCTGGAGGTGCTCTGGTTTCAGTGCCACTCCTTAGATCACGGTGGGCGAACCTATTCGTGGCCGGGGCTCGCCATGGCCTGAGCAAAATAACACCTCCGCTCCTTCTGCAACTTCCCTTGTGGTAGTAGCACGGCGATTGCACTCGACACGAAGAAAACCAAGACACAAATTCGACCTAAGCAGCCGACACCATCGTAGCCGCGACGGGCGAAACATAATCCGCTGGTCCCCTTGCGGGGCGATCAGGCTGCGAAGATTAGACTTGCAGCTCCCCGTACCAGTTGCAGTTTCCAGTTTCCACTGTTATAACCCTGTTTTCTGCTTCCTTACTGTCAATTGTTGCTGAACGCGCGAGGGGGGGGGAGCCGAAAAGCGTCCTGGTTAGCGTCCCCGAATTGCGATGCCTGAATTCCCGGGGAGTCGTGGGACGCGTAAAGATATATGATATTCGCATCCCCGAAGCCAAACTCCCTAACTAAACATACGCCATATTCGCGTCCCCGACGCCACACACCCTCGCAAATTACACTATATTCGCGTCCCCAAAACAATAATCCATTGCAAATTAAACATTACTCGGGTCCCCGAAGCCATGAACTCTGGTGAATTACAGAATGCTCGCGACCCCGAGACCATGAACCCAAGCTGATTATATCAGATTCGCGCCCCCGAAACCATAAACTTCCGAACTTGCATCCCCGAAACCACGAACACACGCAACTTATACAATATTCGACCCCCCGACGCCATAAACCTTTGGAATTTACACAATATGTGCGCCCCCGACGCTATAAACTGTCGTACATGACGCCGTCGTTGCGTCCCCGAAGCCACACACCCTCATAGATTACGCAATATTCGCGTCCCCGAAGCCATAAACCATTGTAAATTACCTAATTGTCGCGCCACCGAAGCCATAAACTTTCGTAAATTAAGATTGGCCCTCGCGTGAAGCCCCGACATTTCTTCACGGCAGCGTCCAGACATCCCAACACAGCTGTGGTAAGTCCCATTCTAAGAGAAGGGGGCCGGCGGCATGGGGGCAAAGCCCATACAGAAAAACAAAACCCAGGACCTGGTGTCTCCAGGATATAAGCACTGGAAAAAAGTTCGGGTCCGAGGGGAAAGTCTGGTTCCAGGGAGGAGAGAAGAAGAGGAGCACGCGACCACTGAACCTCACCACTGAACCTCACAGTAGCGTGAATCAGACAATCGCCAGTAAACTAGAAACGCTGCACGAGCCGATCTGTCATAGGCAAAATCATGCAACGAACTTTGTTTTTATAGCGCCTGGAGGCGTACCCATGAAAATAGATCAAACTATAACACACATGTGATCCGACCACGAACCTATTACCACATGCACAGCCGCCGTAACCCCGTCACCTTCTTCGCCTCGGCAATCGCCTTCATCTCCTCGGCACGGCTCGTCTTGGCAGCCTCGTGATCTTCCGTCGCGGTCTTGCAACTCTTTGTCAACTCGGCAAGGTTCTCTTTAGAAGTGGCCAGGGTCTCCTCAGCCATCTTTAAGTCGCCGGACGCGACTGACTTGGACTCGCCAGCCTTCGCCTTGGCCGCCTTTGCCTGACCCATCTCCTTGGTGTCTGCCGCAGCCTGGTCCTCCAAGCTCTGCTTCGTCATCTCGTAGCTATGCTTGGCACTTGTCTCCTGACATGGGAAGAACTTTGTTCTCACGGCGCAATTTTGGAGGGGAGAGGGGGGGCGGACACAGCAGCACGATGACAGACTCAGCGACGCAATGGTGAGGCCACTGAGCTACCACAAGTGCCGTGCGCATGGAATGAACTGAACCGTCCAGCCGCATAGACAAGCAATCCTGGGAAGAATTTTATATGTTTTGGCACGCCGGGTATGGTGACGGAACGTATAGACAAGAAGCCCAGCAGTAGTGCCTCATCATGTGGAACAAGAGCAGCTGTCCTTCGGAACCCTTGTGACAACCATCCTTGCCATTGCGACATGAATTCTTTCGACTTGGACAACAAGAGCTGTCAAATGGATTGGAGTCGGCGTCAAAACGGAAGATTGTGTTGTCCCATAGGCCCCGGATGATCGCAAATCTTGTTCTAGATGGGTCGGCACTGCTGCTGGGCATCGAACGAAAATGTTCTGTCCCCAGCCCAGACGGGCAGGCCCATGCTTTGGGCAATCCCACTGGGCAACCTCCGTAGTTACGCATCCGACCAGTAGGTCCAGTCCGCCCTTCCTCTCTTCCTCCTTCTCAGGCTCAGCCTGTTTCGCACCTTCAAATGTTTCAGCATCTCCTGTTCCTCCTCGGGGGTTCTATCCTATGCCTCCGCCTCCTGCTCAAGAAGCTCGTCGTCCTGCCTCCGCTCTCGTTGTTGTCGTCGTCGTCGTTGTCGTCGTCCGTCGTCGTCGTCTTCGTCGTCGTCGTCGTCGTTGTCGTCGTCCGTCGTCGTCGTCGTCGTCGTCGCAGTCACTGGGCCCTCCTTCAGAGCGCCAGCCACAGCGAAACTGGACCGACAACTCAAGCGCGCGAGTCACAGCGAAACCAAATCGAACTTGAGCAACGTCGTAGTTGACTCGAGGGAAAGCCCCTTCCTTGTGATCCCTTCCTCCCCGGGGGGGTCACCGAGGGGGGGGGGGGGGGGCAAGCTAGGTGCGCTCGCGTCATATCTGACATCCTACCCCTCCCTCCCATCCCTTACCATGGCGTAGATCCCCTCTCTACTCGCACAGTCGGATGTCGAGCAGGGCAATGATCCCGAAAGGGTACGCGATGCATTGTAGAGCACGGCATGGCATGGCGTGAAGAGCACCGCAAAGCGTAGTATGTCACAGCATGGCGTGGCGTGGCGTAGTGAATAATTGCATCACAAAGCTTTGCAACGCAAAGCATGGCATCGCACAGCGGCCCCGAACATAACATTGCATAGCATGGCATTGAAGATCAAAGCGTAGCATGGCATAGCACGACGTGGCACTTAAGCACTGCATATCACAGCTTCAGCTGAAGGCATGGCATCGCGCAGCGGAACGCAACCTAGCATTGCATTGCATGCCGTGGCATGGCACGGGAAATGACGCCAGCGCTGCAGCGGGAGCACGATTCGGAACGAGCGGAAGCGCGGAAATGAGGCCAGCGCTGCAGCGGGAGCACGATTCGGAACGAGCGGAAGCACGGAAATGAGGCCAGCGCTGCAGCGGGAGCACGATTCGGAACGAGCGGGGCCCGAAAATGAGGCCAGCGCCTCAGCGAGAGCAGCATTTTGAAAAAAATGCAAGCGAAAACCCAACTCCGGGACATCCTGTGTGCAAAGAAACAATACGCGGGGGGGGGGGGCCGGACACTCCCAACCCGTCATCAGGGCAGGAGGACAGTAGTATTCATATTGAGTAATTATGGAGCGGGGGGGGTCCCGGGGGGGAGTTCTGAGTCAGAGTACCATCCTCCCCCGAGGGGGTCTTGGGGCCCAAACAGGCTCCACGACAGCCCAAGAGGCCCCCAACTCAATCGGTCCAAGAGGGCCCCGAATCGCCGAACGATCGGTCCAGGAGTCCAAGATGCCGAAGATGGCACCCTCAAAGCCCAAGGGGATGCCAAGACGCTCGAAGACGCTCCAAGAGCATTCCACGAAGGCCACAACAGGCAGAACGTAGAACATGCTGGCGTTCTCGCCTCTTCGGCTTCCCGACGCCCCAAGACGGCCCAAATACCACCCAGATCGGCGCAAGAGACCCCCAAGAATTTCCAAGGCAGCCCCAAAGCGACCCAAGAAAGACCGAAGACGGCCCTAGAGGCCTCCCAGACGGCCCCCAAAACGGCTCCGAGAGGGTGCCCACACGGGAGCCCGAGCGCACACTTCGAGCCCTCGGCCGGCCTCGAGAAGCTCCCTGGGAGGCCCCGAGAGGCTCCCCGAGAAGCCCCCACGCGGCCCCCACGAGGCCCGCAAGAGGCCCCCAGGAAGCCCGAAGAGACCCCAAGCAGATGCCAAGAGGCCCCAGGGTGCTTCCAAGAGGCCGCAGAACTGTCCCCTAGAGGCTTACGAGCGCGCTCCAGCCGAGTCCTCACCAAGCATCCCTGAGGACTCTGCCCCACGTCAGCGTCGTCGTCGCCGCCGATGCCTCCGTCGCCGTCGTCGTCGTCGTCGTCGTCGTCGTCGTCGTCGTCATCGTCGTCGTCGTTGTCGTCGTGGTCGTGGTCGTGGTCGCTGTCGTCGTCCCTCAGGGTCGGCGGCACCAGCCTCAAGGCCTTCCCAATCCACAAACGCAAAAACTCTCGGAGGTCCGAACGGATCTCGTGGGCTGGCGGCGGATCCCCCTCGCAGCAACCCATGTGTGGCACGCTGGAGGCGCATCCCAAGAAACTGAACATCTGAAATCCAGCCGCCCATCCCCCAGACGAAAAATAAAAAATACCCACAAAATAATCAACACATAGTCCAAAAATAGTATTGGGATTATTTTTTGTATGTGTTTGACCTTTTTGGTGTATGTTTGGGGCATTCTTTATTTTTCGTCGAAAATCCCCCTGCAGGGGGACACGCCCGACATAGTGTTAGACTCCGAGTCCTGTCGCAAGAGAAACCTGTTTCGCATGCCTTCCAGGGCCGGCCCCCGTCCCCCCACCGAATCTGCCATCCAGCGCTCGCTTCCGCCTCCAGACGGCGAAGATGGCCCTCAAGACGGTTTCCAATACGGCCACGGTGACACGAGGTGGCCATAGATGGCCCATGCGGCTCCCCTGAATAAGGCCCCAAGTCGGTCCAAGAGGACCCCAAGTTCGCCCAAGAGCCTCCGAAGAGGGCCACATGACGGCCCTAAAGCGGTCCATCATGGCACCAAGGACGGCCCAGGGAGGCCACCAAGACGGCCTCCGAAGGCGTCAGACGGGCCAAGAGCCCCCTAAGACGGCCCCGGGGGTCGAGGCCACCATGAACCCCCCAAAAGGCCCCCAAAGGCCTAAAGAAGGTTCCCAGGAGGTCCCAAGAAAGCCCCTAAAGGCCTTCACCTTCTTGTCTTCATGTTGTACCTCTCCTCCTGCTCCTGCTCCTGCTCCTCCTCCCCCTCCTCCTCTTCCTCCACCTCCTCCTCGTCGTCCTCCTCCTCCGTGCTGCACGGACGAAGATGAGCTCGAGTGCACGACCCGCCTCAGTTCAGACAGCTCGCAGAACTGCCGCGGGGCGTGGACTCAACCTCAGCCCTACCGCGCGGACGAAGACGAGGTCGAGTTAACGACCCCTCCCAGTTCAGACGAGTCGTCGGAATTGCGCTGTTCCTACACTCAGGCTCCTTCCTGATGCGCCGTTGAATGGGCGCGCAGGCCAGGTTTGCCGCAGGCGTCTCGGTGGCGCACGACGCCTCTCCGTCGGCCCGGGTCTGCTGACTCAGGTGCTCCGGTGGTTGGCGGCGCGCACAGGGGGGTGGAGGGAGGGGGGAGGGCTTCTAAGAGGCAGGGGTGCTTCTGAGGAGCCCTCCCCCCTGCCCCCACCCCCCTCTGCGCGTGGCTGAGGTGAGCGGGGCACGAGCGGAAGGGGAGGGGAGAGGCGAGGGGCCCAGGGGAGGCTGCTGGAGTTGTGCCCCCAGAGTTCGCGGCGCGCCCCGTGCCTGCCCTGGCACGAGCTCTGTGCCACCCGAGACCTCAGCTCAGGGAGCCTTGAATAGTTGAATAGAAGGCAGACCGTCCACCCAGATAATAGCCGCCCCGACACGCGAAGCCGCCGAGTACACACACCAAGAGAGGGAATCAAACAGGGCAGGGCTGTTTAGTGAATGCCCAGGGCCGTCAAAGGACCGCGCCACCTTAGGTGGATGCGGGTGAGTCGCGGCTCGCTCTGCGCGCTAGCCCTGGCTGCGGGCGGATGAGAGGAGGGAACAACTAAAGAGTCTAAAAGACACAGGAAGAGGGGGGGGAACGAGCAGTTCATAGAGGAAGCCGCAGCATAAGCATAAACATGCATAAACGTTGGGGGGTTATGGTGGATTTCTTGGGTCGGCGCTGGGCCACCCTCGCTAGCGCGCGAAGCTGAGGCGATGCCGAAGGGGCCAAGAGCCAATCCGAGAAATACGCGCGGACCCTCGCAATTCTGTGTCCATGCTGCTTTCCGCTCTTCGAATTCTGCCAACTCGCTGGGACGGCATCGAAGACTCTCCGCGGGCGTCCTGCTTCCTCAATTCGTCCAGCTGCTGCTCTGCCTTCTCCCGCATGTCCTCCAGCACCTCGGCGGCGCCAGCACCGTCGCCATCGTCGTCGTGAGCGGACTTGACGTGGTGATAATGCTCGAGGTCGTGGTCGTTGTCATAGGACCATTCAGATGGATGGGAACCGAATGAGCCGGAATGAACCCCAATGATGGGGAAAAGACGCAAATTCAGCGGGCTTTCGACTACGGGTATACCAGCGCCGACCCTGAATTTGACATGCTATGAATTGCATCCTAAAACGGTCGTGGTCCCCGCCCCTGGAAGTTTCGGAGCTATCATGCGTCATGGAAGATCCGGAGGTCCCCCAGAGGCATCCGCAAAGTCCGCCCGACGCCGAAGTGGTCGTCGCAGTCATCGTCGTCGTCGTCGTCGCCTCTGCCGTCGCCGTCGCCGTCACTGTCGTCATCGTCGTCGTTGTCGTGTCATCGCCGCCGTCGTCGTCGTTTTAATTGTCGTCGTCACTTTCGGCGTCATCGTCGTCGTGGTCGTCGTGGCCGTTCGTCGTCGTCGTCGTCGTCGTCGTCGCAGTCGTCGCCGACGTCGCCTCTGCAACCGTCGTCGTCGTCGTCCGCACCTCCGTCGTCGTCGTCTCCGTCGTCGTCGCCGTCGTCGCTGACGTCGACGCCGTCGACGCCGTGGTCATCGTGGTCGTTACAAACAGGGCTATGATATGATCGGGATAAATCGCTCCAGAGCGTTCCGGAGCGCTCTCAGAGCGTTCCGGAACGCTCTGGAGCGGCCGCGGCGCCCACTACATCCTCCAAACCCGCCGATTCTCAGAGATTTCGAGCTATCCCGATCCGCTTGTGTCCCGATCGTCGCATCGTTTGAGTCGCCGTCACCCCGGAGCCTGCGTGCGATGTTGTCGTCGTGCGACGTCGTCGTCGTCGCCTCGACGACGTCGCACAACGACAACATCGCACGTCGTGCGACGTCGCACGCCGTCGTCGTTGTCGTCGTCGTCGTCGTGCGTCGCCCCGTTTGAGTCGTCGTCGCCTCGACGATGTTGCCGCCGTGCGACTTGTACGCCTCCGCCGCGGGGGCGCCCGGCTCCTGGCCGTCGGCGGCGCCGTCCTCCGAGCCGCCTGGGGGGAGGCGGCCGGGCGCCCGCCCGAGCCCCGCGGCGACAGCGGCGGGGGGGTCTCGGCGACGCTCAGACGACGGCGGCGACGACGGCAGCGTCGACGACGACGACGACGACGACGGCGACGACGGCGACGACAGCGACGACGACAATTAAAACGACGACGACGGCGACGATGACACGACAACGACGACGACGACGACGACGACGACGACGACGGCGTCGACGACGACGACGACGACGACGACGACGACGACGACGACGACGACGACGACGACGGCGGCGACGACGACGACGACGACGACGACGACGACGGTCAACCGGGGGGTGGTCTCGGCGACCCTCGTGGGTCAACTTGCTGGGAGCCCTGCGTGAGAACGGCCAGAAGACGAAGCCAGGACGAGGACAGACTTGGGTGAGGATACGCCGAGAATTCCTGAGATCCAGCGGGTCTGGGTGATGTCTCGGGCGCCGCGGCCTCCTCAGAGCGTCCTGGAACGCTCTGAGAACGTGCCCTAGGAGACAACTACTGGGAGGTTTCCGTCGGAAAGATTAAGGAGGAGTTCAGCCCCATTTGGGAGCTGTTACGCCAGAGTGGGCCTCGGACTAAGCAGGATTAAGCGGGATTGAGCGGGATTGAGCGGGATTGAGCGGGATTAAGACAGATTTCGGACCAGGGCAAAATCAGAATGTGACCTCCCATGAGTTGCATCCGAACGTGCCTGCACTCTCTGGAACGTTTGCATCCTCGAGCCCCGTCCAAAGCATGCGAGGACGACGCCCACGCGCCGAGCCATGCCTGGACCCCCTTCCGGCACCCGCCCCAACACAGCACGGCGCATGCACCGTATTATCCGTGGGTCGAGGATCCGCGACGCCCGCCTGGCCCCACGAACAACGGGGGGGGTCTCCTCCCCCCCCCTCCTCCACCTGCTCCTCCCCCTCCTCCTCCTCCTCCTCCTCCTCTTCCTCCTCCTCCTCCTCCTGCACCTCTTCCTCGATCCCGCCCCTTCCCTTCCCTCCTCCCCCTCCTCCCCCGTCCTCCTCCAGGATCGAGGCCCCAGAGGGCACATCTGCCACCCTTAGGAAGCAACTGCTGGGAGCCCTCCGAGAGAAAGATTCTGCGTGGGGTTCCCTTTTATGTTCAATCTCTTGGAGGCCACATTCGGCCTGCGAATGTCTGGCGGACATGTGCGGCCGCTGGGCGGGCGTAAGAGGTGCACGTGGGCACCCTATGTTAAGCTAATGCTTTTGAGCACGCCTACACGAGCTTAGAGTGGTCGTTTTGGGTATGGCAGCTTTTGGGTATCGTTCTCTGGGAGTGCTTCAACGAATTTCGAGTGGTGGCGTCGTGACAAGAATCGCAAGGAACCCAACTTATACGAGAACAGCGCCAACGCGTAACGGAGCATAGGTGTTTGGCTCCGATGGCCCACGCACAACGCACCGCACCATCCCTGGGTGGAGGATCGACGACGACTCGGAAGACGCCAACGCGGGACGGTGCACGCAAGTCGTCCGCGGAGATAAAAAGGGCAAATTAGCCAAATTCAGACCCCATTTAAACAGATCAACCCAAATTCAGCTCAGGCAAGCCGTGTTAAGCGGGATTGAGCCGCACTGGGCCGAGGCGGAATTTAACCTCCCACGGAGTTGCTCGGCGGCGAGGCCAGAGAGGAAGTCAGAGGGAGAAGGCCTTCTCAGAAACGGCGGGACTTCTGAGAAGCCCTCGCCCCTTCTGTAACAGTTCCTGGGTCTTCGGGACAGGCCCCTGAAGTTTCTCAGAAGGCCCGAGGCCTTCCGAGCCTTCTGGTCTGAGAAGGCTCGCCCCTTCTCACTTCTCCCCAAGCTCGCCGCCGAGTAGCAACCGACTGACCCATACCACCGAATAATGTTAGAGTTAGGGGGCCGAAAGGTCATTCGCTGTCCCTTGGTGATCCGCGGCGCGGATTCTGGTTGTTTGTGTCTTTGTTGCTTTGCTTGCTTTTTTGTCGTCGCATCCTCGCCCGCGGCCCGCTCTGCGACCAACGACCCACCCTGCGACCCACCCCGCGACCCACCCGCGACCAACCCGCGACCCACCTGCGACCCACCCGCGGCCCACCAGCGACCACCCACATGACTTTGATGAACCTTCGGCGCCTCCTGCGGCGGGCCGTTTTCAGAGAAGACATAAAATCAGCGCCTGCGGCGGCTTCGTCAGAGCTTCGCAGACTGCCGACGACCCATCCGCAACTGCGGAGCCATGATATATTTGCCTTCAAGAGGCGGAGGGAGCGGAGGATGCAGCGCGACAACATAACTTCACACGGCACGCCCTCAGTCGCAATACGAATCAGAAGGTCGCAAGGCCTTGTGTGGGGCTGCGGGCTGGACCCGAAAATGTGCGCCACACTGCATCCTCGATACCCATCGGTCGGAAGTAATTAGTGAGTCGAAACCTGCATCAGGAAGGCGTTGGAAGCGTGTCTGATCTCGGCCCGCTCCCCGAAGACGAAGGCAGCTGTGAAGCCACTCGATTCTTGAAACAGGAAGGCGCCCTGATTACATTGCAATCTGGAGATCCGAACACACCTGCCTTTCACGCCTAGAGGGAGGGGTGCGTTCGAATAGCCCCCATGGGGCTACACCCCCCAGTTTCACCTCTCTTCCCTCAACCACCCGATGTCTCTTGTTCGGGGGCTCGGGGATTCGGGGAAGGAAGCCGCCTGCAAAATTCGGATGAGTATGAATCGGGAACCAGCGGGTCCTGGGGGATATGCTGGGCGCCGCGGCTGAGCTAGACCGCTCCAAAAAACGCTCTGGGATCGCTCCGGCACGCTCCGGCGCGACTCGCCCTGATCCTTAAGGCCTGCTTCACCTTTCTTGCCCGCTGTTGCTGCAGCGGCCAAATGGGAAAACCCACGGCGCATGGGAGACCAGCCTTCGCAGATCGTCTCTCTGAGACATGAAGCCTGACTCCTCCATCCCGAGGCATCCGGCGCCACGAACAATCGAAGCGGCCAGCCAGCCTCGGGCCTCGGGGCTGGCGGAAAACGGCTCGGGACGGGCAACAGGCCCATGGGACGCGCACGGTCTGCGCGCGGCATCCGCGCGAAGCCGCCCTGCATCAAGGGGCTCGACGACAAGGATCCGGGACCGCGAGGCCGAATAAATGCATGACTTTCCTGCCCACGACGTCCCCCGACCTCGGGCTAACAAAACAAAACACGCTGGAGGCTTGTAAACGATTTGGGCCGGCTTCTGGGCAAGGGGATGGTTTCAAACAAGAAGCCCTGGATGAAAAACTGCTCTCGGGAAGAGAGTCGAGAGGTCAGGGGCTCGCGACTGGAACGAATCGAGTCGTTGGAAGTCTGGGACGTTCCCTTTGTTGTCGGTCCATTCTCCCCCCTGCCAGGACGCTCAGATAGCGCAGCATGCTTCCGTCGCGGCGTTCCCACTCCCTCTTGCGGCATTGCACATCGCCCCCCGGCACCCGCGACTGGGGGAACCAAACTATACTATACAGTGCGACCGCATACGGGTACTCCCCTGAGCACTCCCCGGATGCGTTCGGACCAGGATTCCGAGGACCCCCGCAAGAGACCCAAAGAGGGCGGGAACGAGGGGGGGAGCTAACATCGAAGATGCGGGTATCTGTGCATCCTCTGACTTACCCCACACAGGGAAAAACTCCCCCCTCCCGGCAGGTGGATTGATTAGGTTGAGTATGGTTTAACCGATCCCCATCCCCAGCGGCGTGGCCTGGGCCCCACTGGCCACTTTACCCGCCTAGATGGGGACATAGGCCGTTCCCTCCAGGTTTCGAGGGGTGTATCCCCAACTGGGGTGGTAACTTGGTGGGGGTCTCGAAGGGGGCGAGGATGGGGATGGGGGTCGGTTAAACGATACGAAATCCTGACCCGGTCTTCGCTGCGGATCCAGGCTTGGCGACGAAGGGCCTCCAGGAGGCACGGCCCGAGCGAGAGAAGCGCGAGGGAGGGCCGCCGTGGTCTTGGCTGGCCCTCCTCCGACCCCCCGGTCCCCAAGCCTTGGGCCAGCGCCATCAGCTTCTTCTTGTCGCCCATGGGCAGCGCGGCCGCGTCGATGACCGCCGAGAGGGAGCGGAGCAGCGAGTCAACGCTGGTGGTGTCCACTTTCTGCTGCATCAGGGCCTCAGAAGCACACCCCGATCCTGGTTTGTGCGCTGCTTCCTGGCCAGCGCAATGCTCGAAAGGGGGGGAGGTGGGGGGGGGAAGTACGCCCCGATCCTATCGCGATCAGGCCGACACATGAAAAGTACATCCTGCCCTGAGCAGGCCTGAGCTACAGACGAGAAACAGCCAGCCGAACGAACAAAGGAACCGACAACGAGCGAAACCGAACCTACCGGAGCCAGCCGAGAAGGACGCAACGACGCGGCAACGACGCTCCCGAACCGAACCGACCGATCGCAGCCCACTGACCGACAGGCTGGGCGCAACCGAATCGAGGGAACCGCGGACATCCTCGACTCCTCTCCCGGCCCCCTCGCGCACGCGGGAAGGAGGGGGAGAAGGAGACGCACGGAGGCAGGGGAGGCAAGGCAAGGCAAGGCGCATAGGCGGCGCACCCCGAGGGGCACTGGCCAGCGGCAGCAACGAGCGAGGAGAAGTGCCTGTGCCAGCGATGCGGAAAGCAGGGCGGCAACGTTCGATTGGCGAGCTCCCTGCCTGCAGGAGCCTCTACCTGACGCTCGAGGAGGAAGAGGAGTAGCAGGAGGACGAGGTGTGCAGAGAGGGAGGGCGAGGATGACGCAGCGGGCAGATTGTCCGCATGGCCTGTCTGAGAAGGCCTAGAAAATACATTAGGGGCCCGACCACAAGACCACAAGAAACCCAAGCCTGAGACCCTTGGACGTCAGTAGATTTTTGGTGTGGGAACGTCACGCTGTCCATCGCAAGACCACCGGGACCCAAGAAACCCAGGGCACCCTGGAGGCAAGCAGGGTGTTTCTAGGCATGGGCCTCCACTGCAGAGGATCAGGAGAGGTGTTGGGCCGAAGAAAAAGCTGACATACGCCCTGACCGTATCCTGACCTGGTCACCGCGGCCCATCCCGAGAGCAAGGGGTGCCCCCTGCGCCGGTCGGATGGGGCCGGTCCAACCTTGTGCTCCTGCACCAATCCCGGTCGATCGACGGATTGGCGGGAAGCGGCAGACCTGGTCAACGCTTAACGGGGGATCTGGCGACCCCAGTCCCCGATTTCCTCGGGCTTCCGAGGGGACAAAGACTTCCAAGCCCAGGATCTGCGACGGGGGAGCGCCTATTCTCGATGGGCGTGCGCCGGACCCCCCCCCACAATGTGTCCCTTCGCTCCTGAGCGGCATATTCTTGTTTGGGGGGAGGTCCGAGATTGGGGACGGTGAATTGGCTGCGAACGTTCACGTGGCACGAGCTGTGGTAGTCCGATCGCATCTGCGCAGATCGAACCCGACTTGGGCGAGGCAGCCTGCAGTTAGGGAGTCCACGAATGACGTACGCGCCCAACTATGTACATGAACCCGGCCCCTCGATCCGCGAGACCCTCCGCATGATACGAACATGCACGCAATGCGTACTCTCGAAACCAGCGTGGACTCTTGTACGTGTCCGTCCTTCTCTCGCTCCCGAGCAGCAGCAGAAGGCAGCCAGAATGCACGCCGCGGGTGGGAAGGCCACGAAGAGGCTCCCCGACCCGAGCCTACGGGACGGCACGCAGCCCCGGGCCCCTCCCGAACCCCAAAGTGGTCCCCACTGCATCGCCTCGACTGTGTTGGCCGCCAGAGCTCATGCCGGTCCACACGCTGGGGCCTCCCCCCGAGGCCGGGGCGGACTTGCCCAGCTTGCGCTGCAGCACGTTGACGGCCCGGTTCAGCGTGTCGACGACGTCCACCAGCTCCTTCTCGGCCGTGGCGAACTCGGCGCTCTCGTTGGTACGGATGGCCAGTGCGGCCTTCAGCTCTGCCTCCGCCTCCGCGATGTCGGCGCCCAAGGTCTCGATCCTGGTGGTCTCCGCCACCAGGTCGGCCTTCGCCTTCTCGATGGTGGCCGTGAGATCGTCGATCTCTCCCTCCGCCGTCTGGATCTCGAACCCGAGGTCCTTGGCGCCGAACTTGCAGTTGTCCATCAGTTCATCGTAGACCTTGTCGGAAGCCTCGGCCTCCTGTGGAAAGCAGGATGACACAGACACATCACCGAACATATCGTACAAACTTCGTAGAGTACATCGTTGCCCAGACGGCGTGGCCAGAACGCCCCCCCCCCACCCAGCACCGACACACACACACACACACACAAACTACAAGACCTCTGAGCGCGCGCGTCAGCCCTGGGGGGCGGACCCACACACTGTATGCGTGTGTTTGGGTGACGCCGATCCTTCGTGAGCTTGCCTTGGAGGCTCGTGAGCATCTCGATCACCTTTCCTATGGGCGTCGCGCCGCTGCGAACCTTCGTAGCGCCAGAGCTGTGCAGCAGGGCCAGCGACAGGACGGCGAGGCTGCGGATCTGCATTGCAAGTTTGACGACTGGGGCCGTGAAGCTGTCGACGGGAGCTTGAGCCACAATGCGCTGTCATCGCCGTGAGTAGCCCCGCTCGGGTCGGACCCAGCCGCACTGGCAGTACGCA